CCTCGCTAGACGATGATAATCCATTCCACTGAAATCGCTGTTTAGTGAAATCATCATCTAGCGAAAAGCATTTCCCCACTGGAATGCATTGAAACCTGTTTAATGCGTTCCAAAATGGGGAAGAATCGTCGTTGTCTAGCGAAGATCGGCCATAGGAAAGCCGCTTTGCGAACCCCCGATCAGCTGTTTAAATAGCTATCTTGCGAAGCTTAGGTCCCGAAAACACCCATTTTGCGAGCGTGGAGGGAGCTGTCAAAATCGTTGTCTAGCGAAAATCGGTTTGTGAAGCAGGGACCAAACATTGTCCAGCGAAATTCCCCCATAGGAATCAGTGTTTTGCGAATCGCTATAGCGATTGCAAAAAGTCAATGTCTAGCGAAAAAACTATCATGCGGGATAACTGTCTAGCGAGGCACCACTGTACTGTATTTATTATTTATTATTTATTTATTAGCATTTTTTCTATCTTACCTTTCCTCTAGTGAGGTCAAGGTTGCTTACTGCTTATTACTGCTGTTGCTGCTGCTACTAATCTTTTGTGTGTCTGGATAGGTCGTAACATGATACGATTATATTCATTTGTTTGTTTCCTTTCCATGCTCCGCCCGGTGAGTGTTTTAGCAATATTTTTACATCAACAGTAAAGATACCTTAAGTTCAGGTCAGTGAGGATCAGACAGGAGCACTTTGGCATCAGCTTCACACCCCTGGTCAAACTAAGGAAAGGCAAGATACAAATGTTGCTCCTCCTGATGCATGATCTGTCTCCCCTCTGCTGGTTTTCGACTAGCCACATGTGTCTTGCTGCGTGCAGTGAAGGTTGCTCGCTATGGTCGTGACTCTTTTAGCCAATGTTGTCCAAAGGCTAAATGACAGGGTGCAGATTTGGGCACAACTGGAGGGGAATCAGAGCTTGCAAAATTCAAGCGCCCCTCTATTTAAAAAAAGCCAGATTCCAAAAACCACAGGTGGGGAACAGCCTGTTCAGGATCAGTTCTCAAGAACTCATCAGATTAAGTTAGTTCACAACCCCTTGCCAGCCTGCAAAAACCCACTGGTACATTGGATGGAGAAGATGTCAGAAAATGACAACATCAAGATCTTGTGGGATTTCTGGATCCAGACGGATAGCAGGCACCTTGAACAGAACACACCAGATGTAAACGTAGTAGTAGTCAAAGAATGAAGAAATGTCTGGATCATGGCCGTGGCCATTCCAGGGGATGCCAGAGTTGAAGCTAAAGAATTGGAAAAAACTAGCAATGTACAGAGACTTGGCAAGTGAAACATCTCGCTTGTGGATGAAAACACTCCAGTGGTCCCCCGTAATCATCCAGGCTTTGGGATGAATATCAAGAAATTTCACACAGAAATTTATAAGCCCTTGCAGATCTCAGAAACAACCTCATCAGAGTTACAAAAAACAGTATTAGGAACAGATACATTATTCCCCTAGATTTAACAGATGCTTATGTTTGTTGTTAAAACTTGTATCTGTTCTATCATACCAGTCAATGTTTTAATAATTTTGGTCGTTCTGGGTTTTTCGGGCTCTTTGGCCGTGTTCTGAAGGTTGTTCTTCCTGACGTTTCGCCAGTCTCTGTGGCCATGGGCATCTTCAGAGGACAGCAACCTGTGCTCTGGTGTAGTTGGCTTGGAAGTGCCAATAATTTTGATTGATTGCGCCTGGTAGCTTTGAATAATAATAATAATAACAGGGAAGGCAAAGAGGTTTTGTAAAAAAAAAAATCCCTTACAAAGGGGTTTTGTAAGCCATCTTGATCTAGGTTTAAAACCACTCTTAAAGTTAATATTTTGTGGTTATGTGCTGGGGTCGGAAGGAAGGGAGGGAGAGAGGAAGGAAGAGAAAGAAAGAAAGAAGCCCATTTGGAAAGGAAAAGAAGACAAGGGGAGGTGGGGGAAGAAGGAAGTGGCTGGCTGGCGGGCTGCGCAGGGAGGGGAGAAGCCCCCACCCCGCTTCAAGCTGCAGGCAGGGGGAGGCCCGGGACTGCCTGGTGGAGCAAAGAG